AACTGCGTCCGCATGTATAAAAATGAATCGGAATGTCGTCTTGGAGTGTGTGAGCAAGCCGGCGTCTGTTTAGGATGACTTCCGTTAAGCTTTCTTCCCTGCATCGTGTACCAAATGAACTCCATCCTGCGGAAACAGTTGTGGGCATGTTATCGATCAGTAGCAGTTGTTCCCGCCGAATCTCCTTCGCCTTCCCTTTCGCCTTTTACTTTTTTACCGACCTTTTCGCTCATATTAGCCAGTTTCTGTCTTCGCTGAGATGACGTGATCCGCACATATCTTTCGAAGAATCGTCGCACAACTTCAAATTTCATCAGACATTTACAGCCGCAGAGCAGACGAACAGCCTCAGAGCGCACATTGGGCAGAAATATGAGATACACCCAAATCTCAGAGGTATATTGGATTGCAATGAATGAATTGAAGAATTTTGTCAGTTGGACAATCTCCTGATGATATTCTGGACAACCGTCAGCATACTGCATGGCGTCTGAGTACTGCCTAATTGCCATGACGATAACCAGGGGCATGGAGAGGAATAGGAAGAGGGAACAAACACCCAAATGTCCCAAAATGCGTCTCCGCTCAATCTTCTGTCGGGCAGTGGTCTTAGCTTCCAGTCGTTTGCCCTGCACAATGTACTTCAGCTTGTAGCAGATGAGCACGTTGAGGATGAGGATGACAAAGGTCGGCACGGTGTAGGAACAGAACGCAGACATCAGAATGACATAACGGGCCCCAGCAGCTGTAGGGTCTAGTAACTGACACCGACAGGTTCCGTCATCCTTCTCAACTATCACGTAGTACAGCGCAGCCGGAATGAAACTTAGGAAGGAGAACAGGAAGCAAATTAGGACGCCCAAATAGGCATACCCTAGGTAAATATCCCCACGAGACTGAATGGGTCTGTAGACGGTGACGGTTCTGTCAATGGTGAAGGAGACCAGGAGCATGGCAGACAGGAGTTGGGTTGCAGCAGGCGTGTAGGCCACGATTTTGCAACTCACCTCGGACAGAATGTCCAGTTTAAATGTCAGTTGGCAGCCAGAAGCATACCATAGACCACGGCCAATAAAGTGGTCAAGAAGGGCCTGAAAGACGCACTGAAATAGGTGCGCAATAGCAATTCCCATGGCATAAATGTTGAATCTGCAGGCAGCTTTCATTTGCAGCCGTATGAATATTGCCAGGACGAACAAATTGGAGGGAATGCCTATACAGAGCAAAACAGGAATGACGTAGGCTCGAAAACGCAAAACAGCCGTTTCCGTCGGCGTTAAGTCGTCCGGACATCCCAGAGTGGGAAACAATACGCACCTCCCGGTATCCATAGTCTAAGTCATAATGTATCAGCAGCTTCATTACATATAAAGCTGACGGTGTGTGCTGTCTGCCGCAGTTGCGATTGGATGTGCGTTAATGGTGTAACCAATCACAATGGAGTAACATTACCATCCTCGACCAATGAAGGCGGACCACAGGGTCATAAGTAGCACATCATCTATAGATCCGCGTTTTTTTCCGTTTCTTACCCCAAGGATTGTTTTGAGCAAATATGGTTAGCGGAAATGCGCTAGAATATATGGAGAGCGAGCAATAGATCAGGGATATTTTTTGTAAAGCCAAAAGATGGCTGTTATATGCCCAAAATATAAAACAATCATAAACTCCAAAACTGTTCGCATTCAGTAAATTAACTCAACACTTAGAACGGAAGAAGAATGTATGCTGTTGAAAAAAAACGAGAATAGTCAGAGAGCTGAGGCTCCTCGTTTGAAAGAAATATTAGAGGGAGACTATAAGATGCCAGGGCTTGTATTCTGAAAAACAGTTGGATGGGAAGATGCTTGTTTTTTCAGCCGTCGTCTGAAATAATGATAACTTTTGAAATTTTATTTTTTGCCATCACAGACACACGTGATTTTGCTAGTGAGCACGACTTTTACATTTTTAACGATAGGCCTTAGACTCCTACTTGACGAAAGCAAGAGTCAGTAACTTCTGATTATGAAAATCTCCCATCGCAATAATATATGCAGATGTTCCACGTTAGAATATATAGTAAGCTATGAGAATCAAACCATGATAATTTTTGAATTTTTAGATGTAAATAAAAAGGATTAAAAATAAAAAACGCTGATTGTTCGCCAAAATAAGTAAGCGTTACTTTAAGCAACAAATGATGAAGCGACCGAGGGCACTATGTCGCTGAACACTGATTCATAATTTAACTTTACTAACATAACTGAAACAGAAAATTAGATTACAACGTAAAAGCCACAGCAGCGCAGGTGTATCGATATACAGTATGGAGAAAGATTTATAGTCACTGGGTAATCGGCATTGAGTAAGGTTTTAATACTGACTATCGTGTCTGCCATTCTCAAGGTATTTCAGTCATGGTATGATGCGGGAATTTTAACGAACTTCTTTCTGACCGCTAACAAAACGTACATTTTTAGTATTGATTTTGACTGCGTTCATAAACTCAAACATATTTTGTAGAAAACATGCACATGAATATTCTTTCTTGTACTTCTTTCTTAGCAAACTACGCTTCCTTTATAGAAAGGGTGTTTTTCGGTTTTAAGAACACTTCTAAGTTGCCAAATAATTTTGAAGCCTTCCAACTGCTACACCTGAAATCAAGGTTTAAAAACTGCGCACTGTGTACATCCTGTTTAAGGAATGGTACGCTTCAGCCTACGCTTTTATGAAAAAGTCCCGTAGTTCTAATAAAATGTTGCAATAGATGTGGATTATGCTGTACACATTATCGGCAGCATTACTAAATTGATGGATACGATGTATTATGAGGGAGCATCCCACAATCGTAAAAAATATCACGAGTAGAATTTTCCTAAAACCAATGGATGTCCTTTCTTCAGGTATAAAAATTAAAGAAGGCGTAACTTTTTACCCAACGAGTACAACAAAGGAGATTCTCGTGCATTTTTTCGATAAAATGTATTTGAATTTATAAAGACAATCAAAAGCAATGGTAAAATGCTTACTCCTTACATAGCGGTCGTTAGAAAGCCGGCATCCAATAGTGACTTAAATGACTTGGGAATAGGCCACAGGATAAAGAGTATTAAAACGTTAATGCTGATTAACGAGTGAGTATCAATCTTTCGCAAATGTCGGCATGTTGCACGATTGGGAGCCGTACTGTAGTAATCAAAATTTACTCCCACGGATGCGCGTGAATGACCTGCATTTTGGCCGACAGATGTGAACCTACAGCTCTCGCAGGCGGTCGTCTCACCGCTGAAATTAACTAAAGGAATAATAATAATACAGAAAAGGGCAATGTGCATTGACTTATCGGCCGCCCACAGCCCGTCATAGAGGTGTTTATGACGTCACAAAAACTGCCGGCCCAGTGAACTTTACTCTTGGCGTAATGTGCCTCGGTAGCAAGGAGCAGGGTTTTTTGACAAATGCTGTAGTTTTAACTTGCTTATCCAGAAAAAGCACACTGTCCCATAAATTAAACTGAGGGTGAACAACATGCACTTTATCTATTTAGTGCAATGCTGCAGCCACGACCTTATGATTTTGCCGAAAATGCTGACAGTATATATTCTTAGGCATAGAAAGCAGAGTTTATTAAATGTACGTACTTGGCGCAAGGATTTTCACAGGGAATTAATTCTGCAACGCATATAAGTAAGCCGTTTTTACAGTTTCAGGTAGCAGGTTAGTTGGTCGTCTACCCTATATAGCCATATACACTAGCACAGTGGTTGTTTTTTGTTAGTTTAAGGTGAAATTTAGTTGACTTTAAATTTAAGTTTATAAGTTATCTTATTAGATTAACTGTAGATATAGTTACATTTTGATTTTAGT